TGCAAATTATCCTGTCACAATTCTTGGGAGACACATCTAATTGGACCAAGACGACAGCGCAGCCCTGAGCTAGGGTGGTGCCCGTGGTCAGGCCCACATACTGGAACCTGTGGGGATTAGAGCTGTCCTTGGCTCCGTCAGCTTCACAATGGACTGGAGCTGCCCCTGGCTTTCAGGATAGTTTGATTTCAAGGCCACAGCCCCTGTGGCTCCACCAACACCACAACCTTGCCTGGTTCCCTCCCCAGCACACCTTTCCTTCCTTTCCTGGTCATAAGTCATTGGATCCCTGGCATCCTGTGGTGGGCATAGCCCCCTGGGTGGTCCTGAGTCCATGCAGCAGCTCTTCTGACCCCTCACATACATCCAGACATCTGTTTCACCATGCCCTGGAGAGCACTCAGGGAGTCCCCAGGCAGGTCCTGCCTGTATCTTGCATGTTTCCTAAGGTGGTGCCAAGCATCCTGTCCTGGCTACAGGGGAAGGGGTCCAGTCCAGGCTCTCTCAGGCCCCTGGCCAGCCCCAGCCTCTCAGAACAATCAAAGGCAACCTGGGATCTTAGAGGTGGGGGTGAGACAGAAACAGATGACTCTGCCTGGCAAGGGCCCTTTGGCCACAACACAGCCATCTCCAGCCAGGGGAGGGTGGAGAAAGGACAACAGGATGCTCAAATGGTTACTTACACACGGGAAAGGGAGGAGTGACGAGCGACTTCCTCAGGAAGGCAATCTGGAGACGGGGGGATGTTTCCCCTTTGGCACGTGTCCCATGCTGCCCTCACTCCCTTTCCTGCCTGGGCCACACCACCCGAGCTAGACTATACTGGCCTCACCCCATCTCTCTCCATCCTCAGCAGACAGCCAATTGCTCTGTGCCCAGAATGTCTGGCTAACCCTCTTCAGACTCACTTCCAAATCCTGTGGATTCTGGAATGCAGCTACCCTTCCTGGGGCTCACAGCCCATCTGACAGCTTTCACATTCTGCCCAAGGGAGACCGATAAGGTACTCTCTCCAAACTCAAACCTATTGCCGCTGCCCTGCTCCCTGGCCCCGAGGACACTTGGCTGCGGTAACCCCTTCACTGGAGGCTCTTCTTTCAGACGCACCCACTAAAACTAACATGTAAAAGCCCAGCCTGGAAGCCCTGGCTGTTACTGCCATGAAGAGTGTAAAAGCCAACAGTAATAACTGGCTGCTTAAGAAGATCAGTTCTTTAATTCTCTTGAGCCCTCCATGTGGGATGATTGTATTCTGCAGTCTTTCTGACAGTAGGAATCTGAAGCCTTCCTAAAAGCTAACTATAGCAAATTTCTTTCTTTCTTTCTTTCTTTCTTT